GCTCACTAGGCTAATCCTCCACCTTGCGGTGCCAGCACACCGGGTTCTAGTCCTGGTCAGGGCGCCGGATTCTGTCCCGGTTGCCCCTCTTCCAGGTCAGCTCTCTGCTGTGGCCCAGGAGTGCAGTGGAGGATGGCCCAAGTCCTTGGGCCCTGCACCCCATGGGAGACCAGGAGAAGCACCTGGCTCCTGCCATCGGATCAGCGCGGTGTGCCGGCCGCAGCGTGCAGGCCGCGGCGGCCATTGGAGGGTGAACCAACGGCAAAGGAAGACCTTTCTCTCTGTCTCTCTCTCTCACTGTCCACTCTGCCTGTCAAAAAAAAATATGCAGAGAATGTCGCCTCCTTGTCTCTTCTGTGTTCCCACAGGGAGTTAACCACGGCCAGCACCTGCCATCTCAGCCACGCGCGGCCCAGCGTTCTGCTTCCCATCTCAGTCGACTTGAGCAGAGCTGCGCTGATCTTTGCCGTCTTCACAGTCTTCTTATTCTCTTCAACTTAAAAGAGGAAGCCATGCTTCTGGCTTTGTTTTTTATTTTATATTTTGCATACATAGTATCTCCATTTGGTTCAAAATTTAAAAAGTGTGCCCTGGCCACCCAGATGTATCCCGGCTTGTTTGCTTGCTTCCTTTCAAGACTTTTTTTTAAAAATTGATTTGAAAGGGAGAGAGGGAGAAAGAGAGAGGGGGAGAAAGGGGAGGGGGAGGGAGAGGGAGAGGGAGAGGGAGAGGGAGGGACACAGAGAGAGTCTTCCATCTGCTGGTTCACTTCCCAGATGGCTGCAGCAGCCAGGGCTGGGCCAGGATCCAGGAACTCCATTTAGGTTTTCCACATGGGTATAGGGGCCCAAGCACTTGGGCGATCCTCTACTGCTTTCTCAGGTGCATTAGCAGGGAGCTGGCTAGAAGTGGAGCAGCTGGGACTGGAACCTGTGCCCATACGGGATGCCGGCATTGCTACGCCACAGCGCCGGCCCCAGCAGTGCAGTATTCTATGTGCAGCTGATCCATCACTTACTTACTTAGCTGTCCTCCTATCCGCAGGCATCCGGGCACCTTTCAGTCTTTCGTTATTAAAATCGGTGCTGTACAGAACGAGCTTACACACGGGCCTTTGGCTGCATGTGGTGTGGGTCCTGGGAGAACAGAAGCCAGGTGCAAATGCTGGGTCTGCGGCATACACATTTTCGTTTTGACAGACACCACGTTTTGCTATCCTGGGGACACTTGTCATTTTTGTTTCTCTAATGACATTAATGCTACTGAAAGGAGCCAGCCTGGGACTGCAGCCGTAGTCCCAGAGCAGGAGGGAGGTCAGAGGCCGAGCCCCAGCAGAACCTGCTGTGTGTCACTGGGGGCTTCCTTTGGTTCCCAATCCAAAAAGCAGGGGACTGAACAGTAAGGCTGAAGGTCCCTTCCAGACCTAACAGCCCAGGAACCAGCGGTGCTTCGGCTGCTGGGGCCGCTCTGACGACAGGAACGCGGCCAGCAGCTGCCTGCTGCTCCGAGGGCACCTCTCAGTGCTGCGTGCCCGGATGAAGACGAGCCAGGCTGAAGTGCGCTGGCCCTTGGCCGGGCTCTGTCTGCCGGGAGGTCACGGCCCCTGCTACTGCGGGCTCAGGGTGGGAAGAGGGTGCTTGCTTTCTCCGCATTCCTCTGCAGCATCCGAGTTTAGCACCAACTGCATGACTTACTGATTCAAGAGTTAAATCTGGGGTCTGTGTGGTAGCATGCTGGGTAAAGCTGCCTGTGACACTGGCATCCCACAAGGGCGCCAGTTCGAGTCCCAGCTGCTCCACTCTGATCCAGCTCCCTGCTAATGTGCTTGGGAAAGCAGTGGAGAATGGCCCAAGTCCATGGGCCCCTGCACCGGCATGGGAAACTGGAAGAAGCTCCTGGCTCCTGGCTTTGGCCTGGCCCAGCCCTGGCCGTTGCGGGTAAAATCAGAGTAACTCTGATTTTCAAATAAATAAATAAATAAATAAAGCTTTAAAAAAATTCAATTCACAACTGAAACCAGAGAAAGAGAAGCCTCTGGAGGGAGTCCCGGCCTGAGGGCAGAGGGTCCTGTTTTAACCGCTCTGCCCCTCTGGGTCTCCCTGTTGTGACAGAGGAGGAGCCTGAACAAGATGAGCTTCCTCCGGTGCCTTCCAGGCCAGGAAATCACAGGTTCCAGAGTGAGTACTGAAACGTTAAGAGGGAATGGACGGCAGCGAAACTATTAACAGCCGGGTTTTAAAGTGGGCGAAAGCTCTACGCAGACATTTCCGCCAAGACGACACGCACGCGACCACACAGCACAGCGAAGGCGCCTGCAGCACGGGTCACTGTGGCAAGGCAATGCCAAACCACAGCCAGACAGCACTCGGCGAGGGTCTGCAGAAGCTGGGACACTCACGTTTTGACGGTGGGTAAGTGACGTGGTGTGGCTGCGTTGGCAAACGTCTGGTAGTTCCTGAGTTGAGTTATTGGGTTCTAGTCTCGGCTGTTCTGCTTCTGATCCAGCTCCCGCTAATGCACCTGGGAAAGCAGTGGATGATGGCCCAAGGGCTTCGGCCCCTGCACCCATGTGGGCGACCCAGAAGCAGCTCCTGGCTTTGGCCTGGCCCAGCCCTGGCCATTGTGGCCATCTGGGGAGTGAACCAGAGATGGAAGAGCTCCGTCACTCTTTCAAATAAATAAAAGACAATTTAAAAAAAATAGAATTATCATATAACCCAGTGATGCCATTTCTAGATATATACCCAGTGGAGCTGAAAACACACATCCATGCTATTTGTCTATAAATGTTCATAGCCACATTCTTAATGGCAAAAAAGTGGGAATACCTCATGTGTCCATCACGTGACTGATGCACACAAAGGAATACTATGCAGCCAAGAAAAGGAAGGAGTGACAGACTGAGGCAGTTCCTTCTACTCTGCTTCGGGCTTATGGGGATGCTACTTCCATTTCTACTTACTGTGTCTGTTCTTGCTGTAGTTGGCTCTCAACACAAAGGTGAATGCCACAGCAGGAACGAGTCTTGAAAACACGATGCCAAGTAGAAAAATCAGACACCTAAGGCCACAGGGCGAGTGAGTGCATCTACACGAAATGTCCAACCGGCCAGTGCACAGGGAAAGCACGTCAGTGACGGCCAGGAGCTGCCAGGAGGGTGGGGGAACTGTGAGCGACAGGAATGTTCTGGCATTTAAAGTGGGAATGAAAACCTTGTGAAAATACCAAAAATAAAAAAAATTATAAGATCCAATTTCACATTTCCTATCTGGGCTCCCGAGCACACGCCTCCCCGCCCTTGTTGTTGGCTGCCCAGCAGGGCCAAGCCCCGACCCTCAGCAGCCGTCATCGCTGGCCTTGGCTGGGTGTCCGACCCATGTGGGGGCCTTCCTCTTCCTCGCTGGTAGAATGTGGGGGCAGACCAGAGCAGGGAGATGCAGCACTAGACACCACAGAGAAGGCAGGGCTGGCGGGTGGGTTCTGGGACTGGGGACGTAGCGTTGCTGTGGGCAGCTCATCGGGAGCGGTCCAGGGCCACAGCTCTGCCTTGGTCCTCACGGGAGCTCAGTCAAAGGGATTTTGAAGTAGAAGCAGGAGTTTGCCGGGGAGAGGTGTGAGGGAAGGGGATCCGCGGCAAAGGAGAGCGCACGTGGCAGGCGCGGTGCAGAGGTCAGGATGCACCCGGCGCTGAGTGCTGGGGTTCAAGCCCCGCTCTGCTCCTGATTCCTGCTTCCCGGGAACATGGACCTGAGAGGCAGCGGGGGTTCAAGTTCTAGGGCCTGGGCTTCAGCCGGGCCCAGCCCCAGTGTCATGGGCATCTCAGCAGTAAACAAGGGACAGGACATCTCTGTCTGCATGTCTATGTCTTCCTGCCTTATTTTAAAAAAGCACAATGTGGCCGGCGCTGTGGCGTAGTGGGTAAAGCTACTGCCTGTGATGCTGGCATCCCATATAGGCACCGGTTCAAGTCTCAGCTGCTCCACTTCCCATCCAGCTCCCCGATAATTTGGGAAAGCAGCAGAGGACGGCCCGAGTGCTTGGGCCCCTGCTACTCACGTAGGAGACCTGGAACCAGTTCCCTGTTCCTGGCTTTGACCGGGCCCGGCCCTGGCTGTTGCGGCCACCTGGGGGATGAACCAGCAGATGGACAATCTCTGTCTTTCACTCTCTGCGACTCTTTCAAAGAAATAAATCTTAGAAATACCAAACCATGGGACTGGAGCTGTGGCACAGTGGGTTAACGCCTTGGCCCAAAGCACTGGCATCCCATATAGGTGCCAGTTCACGTCCCGGCTGCTCCACTTCCGATCCAGCTCTCTGCTATGGCCTGGGAAAGCAGTAGAAGATGGCCCAAGTCCTTGGGCCCCTGCACCCACAAGGGAGACCCGGAAGAAGCTCCTGGCTCCTGGCTTCAGATCGGCACAGCTCCGGCCGTTGTGGCCAATTGGGGAGTGAACCAGTGGATGGAAGACTCCCCCCCTCCTCCCGCCTCTCCTCTCTCTGTGTAACTCTTTCAAATAAATAAATAAAAAACAAACAAACAAACAAACAAACCAAACCTAAAGAACAGCACAATGGCAGGACGGGGCGAGCTGGATTTGGGAACTGAGTCCAGCGTGTGCGGCTAGGGCGGGGGTGGGGATGAAGCAGCTCTCTAGAGCGAGAACTTGAGTAGTGAGCTCGTTCTGTCTCATGTGGACGGGTGAGGAAGAGAGCGGGGCAGGCCCAGCTGGGACCAGCCCTTTCCCCTTTCCAGCCTCCTGGCCACCAAGGCCCTCTCCCCTGCGGGGAACGGCGGGTGATCTGGTGTGGAGACCAGGAGCCCCCTAGTCTGGGTGACTGCAGGCCCCTGCAGGCAGGGCAGCTGGGGACCAGCCTGTGAGGGTAGCTACTGGGCAGCACCCCTGGGCCTGCCCCTCTGCCTGCCTCTCCAGCCCCAACTCTGGCTGCCCCTTCTGCCTCCCCACGGGAGAAAAGAATTAAGACTCCACACGTGAGAGTTTTAGCTTACAAAAAAGTATTTATTAACCATTTCCCTCCTCTTGCTGTAACACAACAGCATGACACAGAATGGCCTGGGCCATCAGCCCCTCGGGCGTGCACTCTGCTGTGTGACCGGCCCTGGTTAGGCAACGAGACTCAGAATACGTGTGGTTTCCGGTGCCATACATGAAGCAAACCACGCCCAGGGCCTCCAGAGTCGGCTAGGCCTGGGCACGGCTGGGCTTGTGTGGATGGAAAGGGTGACACAGACAACGGGCAGCATCCGGGGCACACTGCCAATGCGGCTGCAGCTCCTCCTGCAGGGGCCGGGGCTGGGCACCCTCCGGGCTGCAGGGTCCCGGGCCTGGCCCGAACGCCCAGCGTCCCCCCACAGCTGGCGGTCGGAGGGCTGTGCGGCGCGGCTGCCCTGGGCGCCGTTGACCCGTCCTGGCTGGTGCGTGGGGCTCGAGTGGCGCTACTGCTGCTTGCGTGGCGGCGCCTTCCAGGTGGGCGGCAGCCTCCTGTGGATGAGCGTGAGCCCGCACAGGATGAGGAAGACTCCTCCCCACCACAGGACCTCCTGGCACTCTCCGTACAGCGCGTAGCCCAGGAAGGCCTGCGGGCCAGAGACAGCTGTGAGGGCCTCAGGTGGACACAGCCTCCCTCCCTACAGGGGGCCAGCAGCCTCGTGTTAGGGACACCGTAAAGTCACCCCACCCACTTGTCTGTGCCATAGATGCGGCTGGTCTCCCTCCCTCACGGCATCAGCCTCAGCAAAGTACCCGAGAGGGACCCGGCAGATGCCAGCAGGTGCGCCTGGCACACAGCTGCCACCTCCGCGTTGCCTGACCCAGCCTGGGCTCCCAAGTCCTCCTCACCCCCTTCAAGGCTCTGCCTGGCCGACCAGACCAGCAAGGCCCCCCGCCACCTCCATGCTCCGGGGCTCACGCCGGACCCTAGAGTCTCCCTGAGTCACAGCCAGGCTGCACAGGACCTCAAAACAAGGGCCCCTCCCCGTGGGCTCAGCCAGCAGCGGGCTTCTCACGACGTCTGGGGGTCAAAGCCGGAGCCCCCTGGGCCAACGCACTCAGCACCACTCCCTCGGGCTACTCACTGAGCTGAGGATGTTTGCAAAAGTCACGGTGACAGACGCGATGGCTGAGGACATGGAGAAGCTGAGACCCCGGCTGAAGAAGGTCCACATCAGAGAATTGGTGGTCGCCATCACCACGATGCCCACCACGCACGTGAGCATGTGCACCTGCAGGACAAAGTGCCACTGCAGCCATGCCCAGCCCAGACAGCGCCCCCGGGACGGCACCACGGTGCTTACGGTCGCAGCTGCCTGGAGCCAGAGAGCTCTGGGATCTCACCACCGCCCGCGGGACGCATCCTACAGAGCAAACACTCAGGAGACACTCTTCAGGCTGCGTGACCTTGGGCACAAGCCAAATGCTAATCCAGAACCAGCGTTTTCTATTGAAAATAGCAGTTATTTTCTTTTTTTTTTTTTTTTGGATCCCACAGGGACCAAGGCTTTCAGACCAGTCCCAGAGGGCCAAGCAGCTGCTCCACACAGTGGATGAACAGAGCAGGGCTGGAGCACCCACTGCCCCGGCTCAGGCTGAACTCACCCTGTCTGCCTCCCCCAGGCCCTCGACCCTGTGCAAGCCATGCCCCAGCCACCGCAATCCGCAATCCGGGGGCTTTACTCACCTCTGCCCACGCACTAGCCCTGAGGGTTTTCCCTGCCTTCTCCATTCCTTATCTCCATTTTAGATAGGGAACCAGAGGCAGAAAGCCACCTGCCTAAGGGTGACAGAGGTGACAGGGCTGGGGCTCAAACCTGGGCAGGGTCACTCCTTGCTCTCCACCAGGACACAGCCCTTGACTCTGACTGGCGAGGCCAAGCCTCACTCGGAGAACACGCAGATACATACATGTAGGTACGTATGTTTGTGTATGTGTGTATATGTATTAGTATATAAAATCTTTTTTTTAAGGCAAAAGCCTCTGTATGCCAGCAGCATCCTTTCCCGAGGCAGCAGCTGTTGAGTGTGGGTCTGGGTGCCCCAGGCTTCCTACGCAGGTCCAAGACACCTCCCCGTTTCCCTGCGGAGGAAGAGGAGGCTTCTAACAACATAGCCCCGGATGCACGGATGTGCTGATGTGCGCCGGGCTAGCGCGGGTTCCAGGGGGCCAGATACGCAGCTGACAGCACCAAACCCCTCACGGGCCCGAGTGCCCCCAAGAATGACAGGCAACGGATACAATCCGCACCCACTGCGTGAGAGCGCTCTAAACAAGCCTTGTGCCCCTGCGACCGGCCCAAGACTCCACGCGGGGCGCGGGGCAGCTCTCAGCCGTCCCCTCCGGGCCCCTCGTCCTGGCAGCAGGGGCCAGCGGCCACGGGGTCGGGAGATGGACAACAGGCTTCTCACCTTGCCAGTCCCGCGGAGAGAAACGCTCGGGCCCAGGGGCTTTTACCACGAATTAGAGGGCGGACGCAGGAGTGGAGGGCCTGCCCGAGCGGAACCAGTGACTGAGCCAGGCCACAGGGAAGGTCCGCGTGCCCCGCCAAGCAGGAGGCCGCAAGTCCCCAAGGTGTCTACCGGCCACGCGGGCCGAGGGGGTGGCGTGACTGGGGATCAAAGGCTGCGCTCCCGGCCCGGCCCCGCGCCCCCCGGCGCCCCTCCTCCTCCTCCGCCCGCCGCCCGCCCCGCAGCAGCGCGCCCCGGGCTCGACCTCGCTGCCGAAGGCCAGCTTGGCGGAGGCGGCGGCCAGGGCCCCGAACGCGCCGGCGCACAGGCAGTTGAACACGCCCCAGAAGCGGCGCCGCATCGCGCCCGCCTGGAGGTGCGGGGGGAACTCGGCGGGGGCGTCGGGGTAGGCGGCGGCCGACACGGCGCCGCCCGGGAGTCGCGGCTTCTCGGCCATGGTGCCGGCCGCCGCTGCTCGGCGCCCGCCGGCGGCGTCACGTGACGCAGCGCTCACGTGAGCGGGCGGACCAACCCGAGACCTGACCACTGGGCGTACCTGGGCTCCAGCCCCGCCCCGGCCTGGGGCGGGCTCGCTTTCTGATTGCCCCGCAGTCCCCCACCAGCGGGAGAACGATGAACACGTGGGCCGTCAGGTGCACGCGGTGGCCAAGCACTACCGGGAGAGGGGCTGCAGAGACAGCAGACGGTAGCCCGTGCCGGGAAGGGAGTGCAGCGCCTGGAACGCACCGCTGCTGGGCTCCTCGGGGGCGCGGCCGCACGGTGCACCGTCCTGAACCTTCACCACGTGCTTCCTAGAGACCCGGCACTGCACAAGTCGGTGTCTGCTCGGAGACGGAGACACCACGTGCGCACAGTAAAAGCCGGTGAGGTCAGGACGCACGACAGTTCCATGACATAGGCGTTCTTTCTCACCCGTGGAGGTCACGGGTGACCAGCACCCGACACACGGCAGGTGTGCACGGAGCACGTGCTGAGTGAACGGTGAAACCACGCCAGTCAACTGTTTTCCTTTTTCACGATTTTATTTGAAAAAATGTCCATATTTACAGTCATAGAAAATGCTCATGAAAATACTTAAAAGAATATAAAAAATAATCTCTATTAACAAATTCTGCTTCTCATTCATGCTACAAAATCAGTCCTCGAACTCACGGTAAGTTCTACCCCACACTGTTAGAACTTCGGCACCAGTCACGAGGTTATTGATTATCTAAGAAGGACATGACCGCACCAGCGTCCACTGCAAGCCCCAGCTACAGGACTTTATTTCACAAATCCCAAAAGGTCTTCCCAGTGAGAACTTCGGGTTGAATTACACCGTGAAAGGGGGCCGTGGCTGGCACTGCTGGCTTCACGGGGGACTGAAGCAGAATCGTCACTAGCAACTTGAGCCGGCTCCCGCCGCCACAGTACAGTAGATAATGAAGGCTTTTAAACTCAGCTCTACCAAGAGGGCAGGAGTAGGTCTTACTGTTAGAAGAGAGAGAGAAAAAAAAAGAAGTCTCCAAATATCGTGATGCCTAGAGATGAGATGAGGATCCTTAGGATTCGTTCTTTTTCTTCTCCTTTAAAAATACATTTTCAGCACGCAATTTTTCTATGTCCTGGCAAGATATTAAAAAAGAAAGAACATCATGCCTCCAATTCTTAAAGGGACAGTTACTTGGCATTCATTGTTTTTATTTCAAATTAAGACTCGAATTTTCAGCTCGTGAACCACTTAGCATGTGTGACCTACGAGAATCTGAATTGCAACGACCAAAAATCTGCGGTGGGATTCAGGGCCCGCTGGCCCCCAGGCCCGCCCCTCCCCCCGCGGCCGGCGGCTACCTCGAGCAGCCTCACGTTCTCCTTCTTGAGCCGCACCACGTACTGAATCTTCTGATGGAGGTTCTGGTGGCCCAGCAGCCGCCCGTTCTCCTCAGCCAGACACTCCACCTGCTTCCTCAGCAGCCCCATCTCCTGCAGGCGGGGCAGCGAGGCAGCCTCAGTCTCTGTTGACATCACATCCCTCGCAGCCTTGCGGGCCACTGAAGGGAGCCGGCGAGGGAGCCCCACGCCCACGCCCCGCCCACGCCCCTGCCCTCGGCCGTTCAGTCCGGCTCGCCCAAGGGCGGCTTGGAGGCGCACGCACGCACGCACCTGCAGCGCCCTCTCCCGTTCCTCGTACATCTCCTCCAGCTTGGAGCGCAGCTCCTCCTTCTCCTGGAACGCCCTGGCCTCCAGCGTCCTGGTGCGCTCCACCTCGGCAGTCATCCTGAGGCAGTCCGCCTCGCTGCTGTGAAGGGCACTCTGAACTTCGCCGAGGCTGCAGGAACACACGCCCTCACGGTCTCCCAGGGAACGCGGGCACGGAGCGGCACGCGCACGAGGCGGGTGCCCCGGGCCCAGAAGGCCTCCTTCAAGCCTCACTCGTCTCCGGTGACCCCGCTGTGAGCACGGGAAGACCGCACTACACGGACAGAACAGGCTCGCTGCTCTCTTTTTAACCCAAGACATTTGAGGAAAATGCTTCAAACCTTGTTTTTAAAATAATACATTCAGAATGAAATTATTTGCTCCATTTGGAGCAAATGTACTGTAAGTATCACACAGTCTGCACGGCTATCCTATATCCCCTATCTTGATCACTTCTGACTTCAGAAACGGTTCGCGGATGGCGGGACACCGGTCATTTCAAGGATTGCCATGTGGGACACGCGCACTTTATATCCACGGCCGTGTGAAGTGTGACACAAGCAGCAAGGTTACTGTGGCTGTCAGCTGTAAAGAAACCTTTACAAGATGACCACAGCTGTGTCGACTCTCACCGGCTTTCTACCACCGTCTGAACCCTGCGAGGCTCCCATAAGCAACAGAGGCTGTTGGTTTTCCAGTGTGAGTGGAGCAGAGTCCTGACTGCTGGGCGGAGGCAGCGCACGCCACTTAATAGGCTTTGTTTCTTTCATTTTTTTTTTTTTTTGAACAGGCAGAGTGGACAGTGAGAGAGAGAGACAGAGAGAAAGGTTTTCCTTTTGCCGTTGGTTCACCCTCCAATGGCCACCACGGCCGGCGCACTGTGCTGATCCGAAGGCAGGAGCCAGGTACTTATCCTGGTCTCCCATGGGGTGCAGGGCCCAAGCACCTGGGCTATCCTCCACTGCACTCCCAGGCCACAGCAGAGAGCTGGCCTGGAAGAGGGGCAACCAGGACAGAATCCGGCGCCCCGACCAGGACTAGAACCTGGTGTGCTGGCGCCGCAAGGCGGAGGATTAGCCTAGTGAGCCGCGGCGCCGGCCCTTAATAGGCTTTCTTTACAATGTCAAGTTTTTACCATGCCAGACGCCAAGCTTTTGCAGCCCTTGTTATAATTGACCTATTATTTCTTCACGAAACCGGCTCTAATCTAGTGCTCGAAGAGTCTCTTAAGAAGTGTAGGAAGTGAAAATGACAAGGAAACCCTATGAGGAAAGTCCAGTACCTTCCTGATGCTGCCTCGACGCTGGGGGTGGGGTAACCGAGCAGTCCACCAATGCTGAACCACACAGAACACGCTCTATGCTTGACTCATTGAAGAGCAAGGCACTTTGTAAGGCTGCATCATCAGCATGAAAACTGCATGAGTCAGTTCAAATCCTGGCTTCAGGAACCACTGTATAATGAGAGCCACGTCGGGACCAGGAGGAGCCAGTGCTGATCCCAAAGCTCCAGGCCAGCTCAAGGTTTGCCATCAGAGGGAACTGGAGCCCCACTCCTGCGGGGGGGCTCATTACCCGGACTGTTGTAGGGGCGGCGTCACACGAGGAACCCCTTTACTAAGTGGTATTAGGAAAGCATTTTGTAAACATCTCTTATGTTCCCCTCTTAGTGCAGGAGGCAGAAAGGCACTTACTTTGTAGATTTCTTCTCTTTTGAGAATAAAAATGATCAAGAATCAGAATCACAAAACAGTACACTTACTCTGCTTTCATTTTCAGCATTTCTTCCACTAGTTTACTCTAGAATAAGATAAAAAAAGCAAAAGATGGCTTAGGCTCTTAAGCAACATTGCTGAGAAAAGACCCAAAGGAACCAGCCCGCTCTCCCTTGCGCTAATAACCAGTGTCCTTTCCCACAGTCCCGCCTGCACACACGCCCTGTGCCCTGAGGGCTCTGGGAGGTCCTGCCGATTCTTGTAAGTGGACAGCTGCGAGGATCCTGAGCAGCAAGGCTCATTATCCAGGCACGAAGACAACTTCACTCCTAACTCTCAGCTATATGGATGGTAAATATCATGCTAACCAGGGGGAATGCAGAAAAGAAACAAGATGGTTTCTGAAATATACACCTATAAATGCCGACTATAAAGGCATTTCTCAGACAAGAAACATGTAAAAACAAACCCGTACTTTAGCAAGCCTTTCTTTGATGATTTCCTCTTCTTGTTCATTCTTCAGCTGCTGATGGTCTGGATGCTGACCACTGTACAGATTGGGTGGGGACAGGCAAACACTGTCAAGCACATTCAAGGATCAATTTCCAGTCAATCACGGGTACCAGTGCTGAGCTGTGCGAAGGAAAGCTGACGCTAAGGCGATGAGGTCAAGTTAGCACAGTTGATAAACATGACTGACACAGGTGGAAGAAATGGGGCCCCTCCCCAGAACGCAGGACTTCTCCCAGTCCAAAAGCAAGATGAGCAGAAGGGGAAATTCAACCAAGGCTTAGTGGAGAGTCACACAAACTACAAACTTTAGTTAAAAGTGGTAATGTCGGCAGATCAAATGTGAACTAAAGGGGGTGGAGGGAAAGGCAGGTAGGCGGGCAGCGTGGTACGAATGGGATCAGCTGGGGAGGGCCGCCCGGGCCTCAGGCTGGCCCGAGCCCAGGCTGCCTTTGTTTGGGTGCCACAGCAGCTGGCATTTTCTGATGATCACTGTGTGTGCAGACGCAGGGAAGGGATTCCCTGAGCACCAGCCTCCCACAGCGCAGGTAAGACTGATCCATCTCTGGGAGCACGGTCAGGTCAGCACGGCACGGGCATTTCCGTGGGCAGCCTGGACCAGGGAGGTCCCCCGGCAGCACCTGCCTCGGGCTTCCCTAGGAGCAGCTGTCTCACTGGTGAGTAACAGACCGTTTCTTGAAGGAAAACAGAAGCTTCAGTGAAGCTTCTTTCCCTTAAGGGATCTGGCAGCCTGGACAAAAGTGGTAACAAGAACACAGTGAGGAAACCCTCTAAATCATCGGGGAATATATTTTCTGGACACTAA